CCCTGAGAGCTATTTCCCTCTCCAGAACCCTGACAGAAGTTCTGTTGTATTATTAAGATTTAGCACATCCATTCTCTTGGAATCTGTCATTCCCGGTGATCCCCTTTGTCAGCTACTGAATTCTTACCTCTCTTATGCTGTGTATCTGGGATATCTTATTCTGTGCAGGTGATGTTTTTGATGGGTCAGTTTTAATAAGATCATGGGGAACGTGGCACCCTTGCAAGGGAGAGACCTAGATGGAGCCCTGTTATTTGCAGATGAGGGACCAAGGTGTGCTGTCGGTCTGGGAAGAATAATCCTTTGGTTCCAAAGGCCTAGATTAAGCCATTCTTTGGCAATTAGAAAGAGGCAGAGTTTGGGTCCAGCTGTTGAACAGTGTCATGGGCAGCATGGAAAACTATCTGACATTTTCCAGCCTAAAAGAGAAGGCTCCCAGTCTGGAATAGGGTAAATGGAGACCCATCCTACATTAGATGCAAGGTCAGAGGGGGAAACCTCTAAGTCCCCTTTCAACTCTGAAACTTCACAACTCTAGATATTTTTTTTTTTTTATATAACTCTAGATACTTTTCATCCTTTCACTTATGCAACAAATACTCACTGAGCATCTCACATGTGGCTAACACTAGTCTTGAGTCCTGAAGATGCAGCATTGTATAAAACAGTCCCTGCCTACCTACTGGTTCTATTCAAGAGAGAAAACAGCCCAATAAAGAAAGGAATTAATATATTAATGTCAGGAAATGATAAGTAATATAAATAAAAATGAAGCAGAGTAAGGGAAGTGCTATTGTGTATAAAGTGTTCAGGGAACCTGAGGTGGCATTTGAGCAGAGATCCAGAAAATGAGAAGTGATGGATGTGGGGAGGGCTGAAGGAGGGGGAGCCAGTCAGGACGGCGGAAGAGGGACAAGCACCCAAGTGCTTGGCTTGTTTGAGGACTTGAATGTAACTGACTCATTCAGCTGTGGGCCCAATTTCTCACCTAGACAGTTTTTTCACTCCTGCATCTGTTGATCTCATTTTTTAATATCATCATTAGAGCCCTAATTTATTAATTACCTCCCTCCCATGTGCCAAGCTTTGCTAAACACCTTACATGTATTACTTCTGATTCCCTCAGCAGCTGCATTCCTTCCTAACTGCATGTTAGGTCTTACTGTCCCCATTTTATAGATGGAGAAATGGAGACTTGATGCATCCTCGCAGTAACAACCATATGGTTCTGATCTACCCCACTGGAAAAATACTCAGTTCACAGCTGAGTGTTATGTACTTGAGGTGTATGTATTAGGCTGAATGCACACAGGTCTACAGAAATGTACTAGAGACTTCCAAGATAAAATCACACCTGTGACTGGACGGCCAGTCCTTGACTATTTGTCTAGTTAAACTTAAGGAGAAAAGCACTGTAGGTACTTTGGGGGAACAATTCTCTTATTTGAAGTCACTCTTTGAGCTGCTCCTTTTTAGCAGAATTTAAAATTAGGATAATGGTCTTTCCTTCCCTCTTCCTTAATATCCCTAATTCTTAGCCTGGACATTTCAACAAACAAAGAATCCTTACCCTAGAACCTTGGAAATGTATGTTCTGAGCTGACATAAACTTCTTTGAGTTTCCAAGGAGATAGCACACACAGCTGATGAGGACACAGAAACTTATACAGAGTAGGGGTGTGGTGGGGAAAATCTCCGTAGACAAGAGCTCTTCGAGATTTTTGAGTCTGCACCAAGATGCCCCCGTGGTTCTTCAAACAACCCTTCCTTGTCAGCATCACCAGGACTTTCTGGCCTTCCAGCTTGCGGGGGCCTTGTAAGGATCTTGTTCCCTGTAGCTTTTGGTGGGTCCTTTGCACAAGGGTGGAATTGTGTCCACCGGTCCCAATTCTGACTGCGGGGAGCCTCTTTACAGACGTCCCTTTTGTAGCCCCTTTACAAGGTAGGGCTGCCTCAGTTAGGAGGATTGCCATGTTCCTCCCAAACCCAGCTCACTCCCACCTCTGTCTTCTGACAGCTGAAGGTTTTCAGGTTCTCTTTTTAGCACAGTTCTTTATAAATTTACATGAGACATGCAGTCATGTTGTAGAAGGCCTGCCCGTGTGCAGGTGGGGTGTTCCTGTGACAGTTCTCAGGTTCCCCATCCTTAGAATGGCGCCGGCCCTCTGGGAGCTGTTACTCTCCAAGCCTTTGATTTCCAAGTTTTCCATCCATGAAATATTTGGTTCTCGGAGCTGCAGGCCCGTGATAATAACAAGCATGGAACTGATTGCAATTTGAATTTAGTTGTCAGCTCACTGCAGTCATAACAAAAAGGGTGAGGATGAACCCTGTGGACTTGGGCCCCTCTCAGGTTTCCCTCCAGGTAGCAGGGCGCCACTCCCCCTGACAGGGTCGGCGTCAGCCCTCAAGGAAATAGTGTCTGCAAAGCAATTCATGCCATTTTCCTCCTCCTCCTCAGAGTGATTATAATTTCCGAGAAGCAAATGCTCAGGAAATGATCATTGCAGTCTTGGGTTTACACAGACAGTTGATATAGATTTGTCCCTCCAAAGGGGGTGCTCCCTTGTGGTGGCAGTGAACGTGGAGGCTCTGGAAAGCTCTTGCTGCGTTAACACATTAGCTGGCTGAGCCTTTGATTTGCGGCCTCATTTAGATAGAAGAAGGAAAGGGCCTTAGGTGTCAGCCATGGAAGTTTTATCCAAGTGCACAGGGTTCTGGCCTGTCTGGGCTACAAGGCTGGTGGGGCAGGAGGAAGGTCTCCCCACCATCTATCTGATCACAGTTTATGACCACAGTCCTCTCACCGACAGCCACAAGGAAGGAGACCCCAGCCCCTGCCAGGGGGCTGGCCAGACCCAGGGCATATAACAACAGTGATCACGGTGATAGCAACAGCAGCTGACCTTGACTGACTACCTGCCACACACTGTTTTTCCCACTGAATCCTGATCACAACCCTGAAACAGAGACCACGATTATCCCCAGGAAACCAAAGCCCAGTATTTTGCCTGTTGTCCCGCAACAGTGTGTCCATTTATACGCTGGATATGTCCTCTTTAATTTCCTAATAAAAACTGCACGAGCCCTGCTTTTCCCCTCTAGCTAAACACCCGGTGCCCATTTGCAGATTTCCTCCCTAAGCCTCACGAGTTGAGGATCTGTGGGACAGCATCATGCGATCTGTTTCTAGCTGGTGTGTTTGGATGTGTCCTGCTTCTCCCATTGAAGAGTTGAACTCCCAACCGTCAGGGTCCACGAGGTTCTCCTTTCCGGCTCTCCAACACATGGCTCCCCTGAGTGGCCTGGGCCAAGCCTAGGATGGAATCCGCTCGGGCAGCGTCACCAGGGAGGCTGTTGATGGGGGATGACTGCTGGGCGCATGCTTCTCTTCTTGGGGAGATTGCTTACCCAGTTTCTTTGCCCAGGAGATGTTTCACGCCACAGGTAAAGTAAGCCTGGAGGTGACATGGGGCTCAGAAACTCTGCAAGTAGCAGGGGTGGGAAACCAAAACATGCTCGTTAGTGAGTCCCGTTCAAAGAGAACAAGCAAGCTGGGGCCATTTAGCATGGGAGCTGGCAACCTCTTGTGCTTTGCAGGCCCCAGAGACTTCACCACGTGGCAGCATTTTTTTTACCAAACACATCTGCATACACACATACAACGTGTACAGAATGCTGGGCCAGGCCCTATCCCATCGCCTTACGACTATTGCTTAATCTTCATCAACCATGTGAAGTAGGTATTATTGTTTTCTTCACTCTACCGATGGGGAAACGGAGGTACAGAGAGGTAACTTGACAAAGATTCCAGAGTTAGTAAGTCACAGAGCCAGGATGACTGTCTGGCCAGATGGTACAGCCCTTCATTATGATGACGCTCAACTATTAGGAGAACATGAAATATGTTCAGTGTACAGATACTGTCACAAAGAAACCTGTAAGACACTTGAGAACTAGTTTCATGCAAAATTGTTACTATCTTTAAGTTTACTTTTAAGAATAAATTCCAGTTATGTAGAGAATTCTGATCTTAAACGAATACCCCCCCCAAATTTAAGCATGTGTATACAAAAAGAGACAGGTTGAAGGGTACAAATAGTATTAATACCTGACCTTTTACAAAGCCCTTATCTCTGATACTGTGATGCAGGCAGGGAGGGTACTTTTGTTCCTGTCCTATCTCGAGGGATTACAGACCAAGAAGCTGAATGCTTTGACCAAGACAACCCAGCTGGGTCAGATGTGACGCTTAAATCCCAGTCCTAACCATGCCCTCATAGGGTGTATAACCTCCTGGAGAGAGGATGAAAAATGTTCAAAAGTAACGATTGTGTATAGTCCTTAAGCCTTCAAGTGACCTGTTTTGGTAGCGAATGAACCAAAAAAGCATTTTTGCCTTTCTTGTGCATCCTACACGTACCAAGCATAGTACCAGACATAGTCCCAGATTTGTTATACAGATGTCAGTGAATCTTTGGGGTTTTTTTTAACCCCCTGTTAGAGTGGATTCAAACTAAGACATCCCTGGATTATACCCTCCCCTTCTGTAGAATTATAAATTCCAGGCAAGGAGATAACAACCATAGATTATGAGCAGCCCTGACACCAGCCAAAAGTGACTTGTTCATTGTTTATTTCAGTTTCTCTTGCTCTTGAGAACTTGGTCTCCTGAATGGATCATCCATTTCGTAATTTCTTGGTGAAAGACTGAGTCTCGTATGTGCCTAATATAAGTTCTTACCAATATAAAGTAAGGGCTTATTTTGGGCTTGGTAATAACACTTCCGTGCCCTGAGGCATATACTGTTGATAAATCAGCCAACGCGAATTTGTTGACTTCTCTCCCTTGTGCGCCCCCCACCCCCCCGTAGTCGCTGATAAAGCCTGAGTTCTCTCCCAAGGATATAGACATTGAGAGAAAATTGCTGGGGATTCACTGTCTCGGGTTCTGCTTTGAATTCCTCACTCACCTGCTGCCCTTCTCTTTTCCCCTCAAGGGTCGAGATTACTGTTCCGAAGAGGAGGATATCACATAGCACCCATTCTACCACTGAAACCAGGAGCTACTGCTGTGTAAATAGGTTACACCCCGGTTGAAATCTTTGCCAAGGTCGGTTCTCTTCAGCGAACAGCACTCTAGCAAAAAGAAGATCGTTCCATATCCTATGCCCCATTAAATTACAGTGTTTCTTAATGAACTTGCAAAGGAATATTGCTAAAAACAAACACACACAAAAACTGTTATCGAACTTTCTTTGTTGCTGCTAGTTAAAACTTGTTGCAACTTCTCACTTCTCTTGTGTCCAGGTATGCAGCAAAACTCTGCAGTTTCACCTTAAAGATACTGTTGGTTTTACAGATGCTCTCCAAACTATTTTCTATATAAGATGAGGTAGTGGTGAACTCAGATATCAAACTTCTGTTGTAGAACTGTTCTGCTTCTAAGACAAGCGTCTCCTTCCCTCTCTCCTCCCTCTCTGTCTCTCCCGAACGGTCCAGAGCCTTGCTTCTTACTGGCAGTGTTGTGCTTTGGAGATGGGATGGTTGCTATGGCAAGCCTTGTTTCCCTGCTAAGAAGAAGTAAAGAAGCCATTATCCATTAAAAGCACGTGGGGACGTGACTCCCGGAGTGACGGAGTGACGTAGGAGTGGGCAGCAGGTGGTTTCATTGACTAGGTATCTTCATCAAGGATTAAGCTTGCAACATTGGCTTTGCTCAGATGCAGATGGAAGTGTGATCACAATCATTTTGAATCCCTCTTCCCCCCCCTTTTTTTTCTAAGAAAATAAACATTTTACTGTTTTTATGCATCCTTGTCTTCTCCCATTCATCCAGTTCAGTGTCTTACCGTGATCTTGGGTGCGGAAGATGAGCCCTCCTTTGCAGGGACACCGATAATTGAGCTTCCTGGCTCCCTACCCTCCCATCGATCATCCGCCACCATTGGCAAGGCTGCCAGTGGTCAGGAGAGATGAGGGGACATCCCCCTCGACATTTTAGGAAGCCCCGAAACCACCCTGTGTCCTTTCCTTTTGTCAGCAGATAAGCCATCCTACGTCCTCACTCGCTCCCTTCCGAATGCTCCGTGAGTCTTGCCACTTCTCTCACTCGTGGCACTGGCTAGGACGGTGCCAAGCGTTCGCCTACTGGAAACCTAGTACATTGACCCTGGTGATGCTATTTGGAGATGCGGAAGCCAAAGCCCTGGGGCAGTGTTGGGGAATGTGAACTGTGGGTTTGGTAGAGTTTATTTTTCCATATTATATGAAGAGAATGATCTCTTCTCAAAGACAGAAGTAATATTTTTAACAAATGTTGTCACAAGTAAATAGCAATCAAAAGGAGAAAATAACTTTTGTATTTTTTTAACGCGTTTGATAGCTTGAGGGTTCTCTTTGTTACTTTCAGGGCGGGGCACCCTGCTAAATGCTATGCCAACAGGCCAGGTGGGGCTTTGGGCCACGGAAACAGAAGGAGCACTGTAGGTTTCTCTCTCGGGGGGTTTGAACGTGAGGGGCTCGGGATCAGCCACACTGCCACTGTCCAAAGGTGGGGAGTCGTTGTTTGTCCTGGGTAGCCAAGAGATCACCTGCCACAGACCAGAGTAAGAAGCTAAATGTGCTCTTACTGAGAAGATGAGCCTTGACTTTAAAATCCATCCGTGTAACGGATGGCGCCAGGGATGGGCTAATGGGGAGATTCCTTATCTGCCGTTAGACCCCAGGGCACAGAAGTGAGGGGCAGGAAACTCTGTTAGTGCTACAGAAAACGGACTCACATGGTAGCAACAAAAGCCCTTAATTCTTTCAGGCAGCCGCAGCTACTTTGGGGAGCAGCTGTGGTTGTTACATAAATAGAGATGCGGCCAAAATTTAAGGCTTTTTATCCTGCTTCAAGCAGAAAAATGCAAAGAGAGTCAAGTCGCCTAGGGGTTCACGTTCCCTCCCTTTGTATGGTTTTTGGCCAAGTTACTAAAATAGTTTTCCTCAGCTGTAAATGAACTGCTGAGCCCCACCTGAAACTTGTCCACGTGGGACTTTGTTCACTGTTATGTGATTTTCTGATTCTTCTCGAGCAAGAGGGTCGCAGGCACTAAGCATCTTCCACGGGGCTGCTCTACCTGGTGTCTCAGAGAGTGTCTTCCCAGAAAAACCGCCCACCTTCTACCCAAAGATGATACATGCTCATATCATTTTTTCTAGTCCTGTTTAGCATTTTGACATGATATACATGTGCCCAGAACCAAGTGCTTCTTGGGAAGTTGACTTTTGAGTGTTTCATAAAACTAGAAACTGGTTCCTGTGAACCCAGGGGCTTTTCACCTGGAGTTCTTGTCTCCCAAGTTTAACTCTTTGATGTGCAGATGTGATTTCATCTGCAGACAAATTTGGTATATCTGGAAATAGATCTGAGAAATGGGGTGGTTGAGTGGGTTGGCATGAGGTACTTGATTATGTTAGCAACACTCTAAACTGTCTGTTTTTTCCATCGTTGGCTTTAATCATAAAATTGTCAAGTGATTTGTGTTTGTACTTTATTTTTTTATGGCTTCTGCAAAAGGTCTAATGCAAAAATATTTTGCCCTTTTTTTCTCCCCATGTATCTGAACATGAAGCAGATTGTCTCAGATACCATGAAAAGAATCATCCAGAAACTAGTGCTTCTGCCGCTGACGACTCGGGGAGATGGAAGGAGGGAGGGAGGGGAGCGGGGAGTAGCCTGGGGGAAGGAGGTAGAAAAAGGAAGGACGAAAAATGGACTGTGAGACACCTTCAGCAGAGAGAGTTGATAGCACGGCGGCGGGCTTGGGTGCAGTTCACAATCCAGCGGCCTGGCCGCCAGTGGGTGGGGCCGACCATCTAGAAGATTTACAGCTGGATCACACTCGCTTTATGTGCTCCGAGTTGTGGAGTTGTCAGAGTTCAGCAGTATATGCGCTGCTTTCTTTTGGTTGGCGGAGATTCAGGATCATGGAGTACTTGCTGTCCATAACCGAATACGTGTTTGTTACTGGCACAGAACCTCAGCCATGCCTCCGAGCCCCCAGGCTGGAGCACGGAGGGGTGTTCTGGCCGATTTAGGGACAAAGAACGAATGAAGTCCAGAGACGAGGACACTAGGTCAGCCCGCGACGGCGGCAGGGGCCACCCACGGGCCTGCGGCGGGGACTGGTCTCTCCCCCTCTGCACGGCCCCTGCTCTGAGACTGGGCTACTCCGCCTCGAGTGAGAGATGGGCTAGGCTGGCGGAGGAAGGAGTAGCCTCAGGTCCTTTGTGCCAGGCAGGGAAGCCCCTCCATGTCGGGGGCGCCCCCAGAGTCAGCCCAGGATGACCCCCCCCCAACGCCTGCAACTGGACAGCCCGCCGGTGCAGCCCAGAGCTGATGGCACCCGTGTTTCCATCCCACTGGATGCCATCCTGCTTCGAGTTCTAACTGCCCTCCTCCCAACCTCATCGAGACTTTTTTTCTCTAAGGGCCAGACTGTCCCAGAAGCCTGCTAAAAACAGAGATTTTACCTCTCACGAATTTTACCTCAGGAGCCTGTGATACAGGCCAGCGTGTTGGTTACAAATTCTGCTTAGACATTAGGCAAGAATCTGAAAGGAGCGCCCCATCCCTACTGGTCTTAGGAAAGAAACCCCGTTAAATATGTTGGTTTCATAGGAAGAAAAATGATCCATGTCTCAAGCCAGGAAAATATTGACTCTGAATCTTGGACTCGAGGACTCTGATACGTTCTTTGTGAAAAGCAAAACGATTTGGTATCTAAGGCAGCCTCCCTCCTCCCAACTCCCAAATTTAAAAAAAAAAAGAAGTATTAGATTGCACTGGATCATTTGACAGAAAATCTGCCTTCTGTGCTTTTGCCCCTGGGAGGCATTTTCAGAGCTTTATCTCTTGGTACCTCTCAGAAAGTAAGTTTTTTGTGAAGTGGCGCAAAACCCCAGTAGATAAAGAAGACCTGGTCGGGGAGAGGGAATGGGTTTTTGGGGGCATGGTGAAAAGGTGGCTGGAGGCAGGGACATTGGCTTCTACATGTCGCATGCAGACCCCTGGGCCCCCACGCACCTGCGTTCAGTTCGGTGAGGCAATCGGCTTTCCCACTGCAAATGCCCTTGCAATAAACCTTTGGAATTTTGTGAATGACTTCTATGAATTGCCTTTGCCAGTGAATGGACATGTTTTTCCAAGGGGGAAAAATGTCCTTCAGTCACCTTTTCGCGTGTCTCCGGAAAAGGGTCAAAAACTACAGCAGAAACCGAGGATGCTGGGTGAATGTATTTACTTATGTGACCAACCTTCAGACTCACTAGCTCTCCCACGTCTTTCAGGAAGACTCTTGTACCTTCTCTGGGATCTAACCTAATCTTGGGGAAAGAGGAAACGGAACTGATATTTATCATTTATACTCACTCCGTGCCATGTCCTGTTCTAGGCATTTTGTAATTGTCTTGTGTCATCCTCCCGGTAATCCCGTGAAGTGCATTTGTGACCCTCATGTTCCAAGTAGCGTACCCTAAGTACAGAATGTGTCTATCCCCTATCAGTGCCCATGGGGAGAGGAGGAACGATGTCATTCAAGTATTTTCTGGATTTTGTTATTCTTTCTATGCCCTTTGCAACACTGTGAAAAGAACCCTTTGGGACTTCTCTCTTCCAGAATCACTCTTTGGCTCATCACCAGCTGGGTTTGCCATGGGGAATGTTTTCCTTGGCCTTCCCAAATCTGGTGAGCTACACACATACCGCAAGAGGCCGCTGGCTAACAGAAATTTAGTGCCCAGAAGGAAAAGGCTTTGGGGATTTAGGCACATGTCTCACTTCCTGGAACCCTTTCGGCATCTGGAAAAGGAACCTGTTACTTGTACGGTGAAATTCCAGAGGCAGCCAGAACAGGCCTTTGAATGCTGTGATTGTTTCTGGGCTCCCAAGGCTTATTTCATCCCAGACTGCATCGTTTTAGGGTGAAAAGCCTTAACCTTGCAGAGAAGTGTGGGAGAACCCGATCGTCCAAGGTAGACGCAAGGCCTGGACCATTGACTTGAAATCCTTTCTTGTGGGCCAGGGCTGGATGTCTCTTTTTGACGTTTGAACCAGGTCTGTATTTTCCAGGCCAGTTGAAGCGCTGCAACTAAATGTGAATCTCTTTTGAGACTTTAAATGTTTTGGAGAGTCGTGTCGTGACTTGGACAGTCATTTAAATAACGTGTCCAAGGTCAGAAGAGCCCAAGAACTTCCCAGAGTTCCTTGCTTTGCTTCTGAAGGCTCGTCCTCTAAAAAAGATGACTCACATCTCCATGGCAACTGTTAAAGGTGGTGCCTAGAGGGGGCCCACCCCTGCCCTCACTGGGCTTGAAAGAATCAAAAACATTTCCTTGTGTAGAGGGGGTGCTAGTATGTTCAGTTTTCTATGAAAACTATCCCCAAGATCTTGCCTCTTTCAAACCTGGCAGTTGTCAGATTCCCTCAAGATGATGTGGGAAATGGCTCTTGTCTCTTGTAAGCCAGAGAAGTGGCTTTAATTCAGCAAGATTCGTTCTAAACCAAAGGCCTCATTCTAATACTGTCTTCCCCCTCTACCCAGAATTCTCCCGTTTTCCCTTTCCAAGAGTTATTTTTAGCCCAGGGCTTTGAACACGATTGAGTAAGACTTAAAAGCAGTAAAAAGAACATCGTAAACTCAGCCAGAACCGCCATAGGGTCTCCAGGGTTGCAAATAGTTCTAGAACCTTAGGGGCCATTTGGCCTAGACCCAGAGGGGCTCAAACAGCCCCCTTTTTTTTTGGCATTTTAGTCCAGACCTTCAGGGACTGTTCTTTCTTGACCGTCAAGTGAGCGAGGGAAGGGAGGCTTCGCAATAGATTTCAAGCCAGCTTTTCCATTCAAAACAAGATGCAAATTTATTTTTTAAAAGGCATATCTATTTTCCTGGAACAGAACCAGGCAGCTGCCTTATTAGGACTCTAAATTCGGATCTCTTTTCTTAACACACACACAGACACACACACACACACAGGTACTTAGAGAAAGAAAATATATAACTACTTTATCATGGAAATACTCCAAGGAAGAACTGTACTTTGCTCTTTTTAATCTCTGAGATAATATCTAGGAAAATGTTAGCATAACTCTAATAATGCCAGAACAGGAAAAGCTAGTGATCCCTCTTGCAAAACTTTGAGTTAGACTCAGTGAGGAGAACGGAGGTCTGTTGGCCAACCTGGCCTTGTGCCCTCTCTGGACCAAGATGCTCTGCCACTGGCACATTTGCCTCAGCTGGGCCTCTAGCCTGGATACTGGGGCCGGCATCCTGTCCCAACCCCTGGTGCATAAAGGGCGCATCCCTGAGGATACGGGCCACGCGCAGCCATATTCAACCACAGCGTTTCTCACGCACTCGCCAGCTCGTCCAGCGTGGCCCTGACTGGCAGCCCAGCCGTTGTGCTGCGACGTTCCGACACCAGTGTGTGGATTTGGGGCCCCTGCATCTGGGTTGTCCCAGATGGAGCATCTTTAGCATTGCCTTCTCCAGGGTTACAGACTCATTCATCCAGCAGACTATGTACAGAGCACCTGGTATAATCGCCTGTAACACCCAGTTAAGCCGAACACAGCTCCTGCCCTCGAGGAGCCTACCATCGGTCAGGGAGACAGTGTGGACACCATAAGCGTCAGTCCCGGGTGCTGTGGGAGCATCTTAAAGTGGCAGCTGCCCAGCTTGGAGAATCCGGGGGCTTCCAGAAAGAGGTGACATCCAAGCTCAAGTGTGTCAGAGGACTGAGGGAGGGC